TGCAGGCACTATCCACTGAATCTCTCTCGGCACCAGGGAAAAGCAGGAGGAAAACCACACATCTGGAAAGCCATTCTTATTTATCCTTCCTAAAATCATCCACCTCTAACTTGACAAGTGTTGTGGCTCATAAGGATGGCTAAAGTTAAAGCACTTTAAATGTAATTCTTAATAAGCTAAATACAGCTAGCTTCTCATTAAAAAAGAAGAGTTGACGGCTGTTTAAGATCTGCCAGAGCTTCAAATTCACAGTCTGCCTTTAAAACGCCAGAGCTGACAGGGAAGGGCTTTTCCATGTTCACTGACACACTGACAAATTTCCCTGTACTGCTATTTTGTGTTTATCAGAACAATCTCACCTTGCCTAATCTCACCCTGCCAGCATCATGGGGAGGCTGTGACAGAACCCATGAGTATGAAGTAGAAAACTTCTCATTCAATTCAAAAAGGAAAATACATTCCAGTGCTGATCATAGCGTTAATAAGTTGGCATTTAATTTATGATAGAGCATATTTGTGGAGATGACAGATTGGAAGCATTACTTGTGGGAGATGCACATACTGAAACCACTGGGGTTCCCATTCACTTTTCTAGCTTCACATCCAACTACTCTGTCCTCATAGGTATGAATTACTCTCAGTTCATCACCACTGTGAGTGCAGCAAGAAGAGCATCTCCAATAAGACTTCTAAGTGAGTATATACCTGTTCTTCTCTGGTTCCCTGTAAGGGTATTGTTCTGTGGTTTGGACTTTACTGGGGTATCAGAACTGAAGACTTGAAAAGGCTTGAAAAGAAACTACAGTAAACTGACAAGCAAGGCCAGTTAACTACTTTGACTTTTGTCACATTGAGACATCAAGCAGGTGTAAAGAAAAAAAAAATGAAGAATAAAGTGAATGGCCTTAAACCATTTCAGAAACTCATCCAGACAGAAAAAAAATTAGTAATGTCACTTCAACATGTGTCTGAAAAAAAAAATCTCTGCTACTGCCTCTGAGGCAGGGCTTTTGGCAGTTTGCTACTGAATTTATGCTTGTTGTCCAGGAACGACCAACTGCTAACGTCTTAAAATTGAATCCCAGCATAATTCTTCTTTCCACCTAGCTTTCCTCTGTCCTGTTAATGTCCATACATTCCTCACCACCTCCACCCCTTCAGTATTACTACACTTTCCTTTTCTATATTACACTATCTTTAGGCTACCATGTCTGCAGTGTGATAGATAGCAAAGGTTAACTGCCTGCTTGCTTACTCAGTTGAAACCTCACAGAATCAGAGCAGGAGACATACATGACTAGTTAAAGGCTTCAGGTGTCAATTTCCTCTCCTGGTAAGGGGTTGACATTTGCTGTTTTGCTTAAAATGCTTCATACAGGTGTAGCTAAGTCACTCTAATTCACTCTAGTCAGCCACTATACTTGAGCAAGTGTTACACTGAGAGGCATCCTAACACAAATATTAAGTAACACAGCCTGAGCAGGAAGACAGGCTGCAGTTTGGATGACAAAGTAAATTTCTCTTTACCAGATGAAAAGTCACAGACATGACCTATATTGTTGATAACTGACTCCCCATGCTCAAGTTTGCTAATAAGTAGTGTAGAATAAACTTGATAACAGGAAGCTTTAAGCCAGATCTGGTGTCATCTGTCCTTTCATATCTGACGTAAAACTGTCAAGCCAGCACGAATGCCATATTGTGAGCTCTTGGATTTAATCAATCAAGTGCCCTTGCTGGATTAAGGTCCAGTCTGCACTGCAGAGATTGGATATGAATGATTGCAAAACTGACTTTGTTTGAAGCAAGAGTAGTTAACATTTTCTTCATAACAAATTATTAACGAGGTCCCTCTGCCACTAGAGCTGGGCTGCCAGAAACATTCCTACTCCCTTATGGAAAAGCTACAATCCTGTGTAGCTGCACTACTGTCACATCAGCTAAAAGACTTAACAAAAAAACAAAGCCTATCATTCCAAGTCAGTCCAAACAGAAAATCATTAAGACTTTAAATTCTTGAAGCTTAAGAGACTGTCATGGAAAAAGGTTTTATAATAGCAGAATGGTCCCAATAAATTATAAAAAACTTTATCTTACTTTAAAACCAGGATGTGTTTTTGTTTCAGTCTGTCCTGCCTGTGTCTCTCTCTCCCCACCCCATGCCTGATGCTTATTTAATCCAAGTAGAAAGGTTAATTTAGAAATAATTTTAATCCTTTCGAATTCATGGCAATTGAAAAAAAGTAAGTGAAAAATGAAATACTTCTCTTGACCACTTTTATGTATTGGCTAATGGAGATGATAACTGTTGCCATAAGTGAAGTGTAACCAAAGTCTTTTCCTTTTACTCTAGCTGAACTGATGCAGAAGTCTCCTCCATCCCTCATCTCTCTGGCTGGAGGGGCACCAAACCCTAATGTTTTTCCATTTAAGAAGGCTACTGTTGTCATTGGAGATGGAGCTCCTGTTGAGATTGGGGAAGACCTGATGAAGAGAGCTCTCCAGTACTCAGCCTCAGCAGGGTATCTGTCACAGATGCTTGCACGTCAAGATACCAGAATCAGAGGATCATAAAGTCCTTTATTATTGCATTAATTCACCTGTGTTTTTAAAACACTTCATTGAATTTGCCTCACTGTTTACATTTCAGTTTAAGTAGAAAGTTTGAGCAGATGAGTACTTTAAAACAAGCCCTAATATTTTTAATTCTCAAGCCAAAGCATTTCCTGGCTGTTAGCATTTCAGAATCCAGACTCCCAAAGCACTAGGAGGAATCATTTTGTGTTTTGCTGTAAGATACTCATTAAAAGATACTGCATTGCATGACATCATTTCCACTTTCTGCAGTATTTTTTTTTGTTTCATTTGGTACCATATATTGAAGTCAGTATGTACTACTCGTGGTAGTTGAATGGAGGCATTTATAGGATTGTTATTTTTATTACAAAAATAGAGTGTCATTAAGTTACTTGAGCACTTGTAAAACCCCCAGCAGACAGCACTGGGTCAGGCTTATGATAGGTTTGCAAAAATATTCGGGTACCTACAGAGGCACACAGGGCATTTATCAGTGAAGTTAAGACTTGTCTTAATATTTAAATGAGCCCAGCTGCTTGTGAACATCCTACAAGACCTCAAGACACTCTTTGAAAAATCTGTTTCAGAAATCCTTACTATCTGCAGCCTATTGCTAGCAGTATTGTGGGCTTTGTCACATCTGAGTGTGGGAAGGGTACTCCTATGAGTAGGTACTGTTCGGTCTCCACCCCATGCCATCCTTTGTGAATTGTGCCCACCCACATTTCAGTTTGATCATTTGGTGTATGCACCACAGATTCCCATCTCTTCTGCTTTTCCATTTATCTCAGGTTCATTATTTGATAAAGCAGTCATAAAATCAGCATGTAAGTGTAACTGTGTGACAGCTGAAGTCGGAGTTGGGATGGTGTGTTAGATTAGGCAGGGATGTAGAGGAACAGTCTAGCTTCGGCCTATATAAAATGGTTGATACACTTTATTTTATTCACATTTCAGTGTGCCAGAGCTGCTGTCTTGGTTAAAGGATTTCCAGCGGAATCTGCATAATCCACCCACAGCCAACTACACTCCTGAGCAAGGACAGATGGCAGTGTGTGTCACAACTGGCAGCCAGGAAGGCTTGTGTAAAGTAAGACCAAAAGCTTTATGTGTTACAAGCACTTCTTTCAGAGAGCTGTTCATTCCTCCATCAGTTCAGTTATGCCTGGCATTGGGTGACTATGACTGTACACAGGTACGCTGTTAAATCTGTGTCTCACAGTATTGTCAATACATGGCAACAGAGCTGAAATAAAACTGCTGTGGCAGTCTAATCTGTCAGGACTGCGTGAATGTTTGGGCAGACCAAAGAGCCTGTCAGAATATACACTAGAAGGTACCTTTTCACCTTACTCAAGTAGTGCAGTAATAAGTACATAGGTGCATTATTTGCTTTATCATAACTCAGTTCTAATTATGTTAAGACTTCCTTAAGTAATTACCCTTTTCCACTCTCACTGCTGCTTAGCTGATCCTTCCTGTAACTGAAGCACTGTTTCTATTGTATAATAAAGCATTTTATTAGATGTTCCCATTTCAAGTGGATACTGTCTAGCTGGTTAACTTCACTTGACTCTAAAACAGATTTTTTTCATTTGTTCATTGCTTTTCTCACAGACAGTGTAATGAAATGTTTAGGGGTTTACTGATAGCTAATCAAGACTTTTAATCCCACCAAGAAATCAGATGTTTGAAGTACATGTAGAAGAGCGGCACAATCTTTCTAAAATAGACTCTTATTTTAAAGGTGTTTGAAATGCTCATTAATCCTGGGGACAACATCCTTTTGGATGCACCTACCTACTCTGGGACACTAGCAGCTGTAAGTATTCTTTAGCTACAAAACCTTGTGAATGTTACATTTCAAGCAAAGAGCAATTTAGTACATGATTTGAAGACTTATATACACAGTCTGTATTTACCATATCTAAGAATCAAGATTCTAGTGTTAGTCCAGTTAAGTTCATAAATATTATATCATAGAAGCTTTTACTACTAAAAGTTCCATAAAAGGTATTCCCAGGACAGAAGTTCCTCTTCCAAATCCTAGTTCATTCAAGGGCTAAGGTCACTTTTGGGATTGGAAGGAAAGCCACCACAAACACAGTTGGGCTGAAGCAAATTTATCACAAGTGGGTATTTTAATGTGCCAGCACATTCACATATATAATCATGGTCTGATTATACCCTAGCTATAAATAGTATAGCATTGGAATAGGCCTCAGCATGAAGATGTGAATTTGTAAGAACTATACAAAAATAGCAAAGTTTACTTCTGAAATGTAACTTAATCAGTATGTAATTAAATGTCAGCTCAAAATGTAGAAGAACTGTAAGAAGGGTTGGATTAGATAATAAACCACAATTTCAGCCTAGTCTCCCCTTGCATAAAAAGGTATTTTGCTATTGTTTGTGCTGCTGAGTTTGAATGCATCTTGTCTAATCAACTATACTTTGATGGGAATATATTTTGAGAATGCAGCAACTTGCATTTTTACTTGAAAATGCAGAGAGCTACACAGTACAAATTGAAATTCCACAGAGGAAAGACAGCATGCTTTTTTGTTGGCATTTTACCTATATTTTTTCATACTGTTGTCAACGTCATTGCAGCAGTATCATTTCATTCTTTGTATTGCTGAATATATCTATTAAGAACAGATTCTTTGCCCTTTTGTCAGGGAAGAAAAGTGTACAGTTCTGGCACTTCCACTAGAACTGGAAGTGTAGATTGTCAGTAGGAAATAAAGGTGCTATGAATTTATTGTCTGTGTTGAGAGCATGAGGAGTTCTGAGAGAACACAGTTCAAATTCCACAAAATCCCTTTCTGCTTGCAAAGCTACGTGCGATTTCCTAGAGAAAAGCAGCAGTTGGACCTAGCAGCATACCCATCTCTTCTCAGGTGGCTTAACAGGGAAAAAAAAACAGTGGTAGGTTTGACAAGTCTCACAGCTAATTCAGGCAAACTGTATTTTGAGTCATGAGCAAATGGAGTTCGAGATAGCTGTAAAGTGAGAAGGATTTTGTATCAAGGAAATTTTAGGAAACAAAAGGAAGACCTTTGATTTAGGGGATTCTGACAGTTTTGTTCCTCCTATCAACAGCTGAGGCCTTTGGGTTGTAATATAATTAACATCCCTAGTGACCAACACGGCATTATTCCAAAAGCTTTAAAAGAAATCCTGTCTACTTGGAGCTCAGAAGATGCAAAAAGTCGTAGCCACCACCTCCCCAAATTCCTGTACACTATTCCAAATGGGTGCAACCCCACTGGAAACTCTCTGACCACAGAGCGCAAGAAGGAGATTTACCAGGTATGTACCCAGAGCCTTGTGAGTGGAAATGAACTGTCAGTCTCATTTTGGGTGAGAACACCCTGTGTGTGGTATTTTGGCCCATTGTTGGTCCAGTAGACATTCCTCCCTGGAACTTGTTTCAAGTGGAACCTCTTCCATGACAACTCTCCAGAGGTGGACTGTGCGTCAGATACGATTGGTGGGTTTTGCAGGAGTTTTTGCCCATTCCTGGTTGGTATCTTTGCTGTGGATTTCAAACTGGACTGAATGGAAGTTTTCTGCATAGTTTGAACACTGTATGGAACAGACCTTCAGTTATATGCATGTGTCCTTATACTGCAGGTACCATGTTTACTCTTATTAATTGCTCAATTTCTAAAGTGAGCATCTGAAATCTTCTCTAGATGGGGCCTTGTATATAGTGAATGAGCAATCCATAAGATCATAATATGGTCCTGGTAATAGAGCCAGGTACTTGGAAGAACTGAATTTACAATGTTGTTACATTTTAATGGATCTTTACTTTTTATTAATTTCTTTAGCTTGCAAGAAAATATGATTTCCTCATAATAGAAGATGACCCTTACTACTTCCTTCAGTTTGAAAAGGTAATATTTTTTTCTCCTATTCCTTAGAACACTTTCTTTTCTAGTCCAGGAGAGAACTAAGGTTTGAACCATGGATCTTCCTCCATGTTCCTTCTTTGTGTCCCACCAAGGTAGTCACAGGATTCACAGTCTATATACTACTTTCACTTGTTTTCCCCTTTATGGCACTTTATTGCCTAAGTCCTGTTAGTCAGTGTTTCAAATTCCTCAAGCCTTACAGGACAATTTCCCTCAGCAGTCAGATGACGGCAAAGGCTTTTCGTCCAGAGCAAAACAAGTATGTCACTGAAACAGCACTTGAAAGAAGGGGCCTCTTAACATACCTTTCAGTCCAGTCTTTTCTTTCATTCAGTGGAAGACTGCCTACTCCAAATCTATTATAATCCCATTTTTACCCCTTGGCCTTTTGGAGAACCTGAGAGAGTTCTCCCAAGCACTACAGGAAGTAGGTACGACTGGATAGGCAGCTTCTGGCCTTCATGTAAATTTTCCCCAGATCATTAACAAGCAAGCATTGACCTGTCTTCATACATGGACCTAAAGTTGCACAGACTGAAAAAGTACCTCAGATCAGAAGCAAAAGCTGGTCTTATAAAGCAGTAAAACGCTGGTGGAAGCTAAAGTTCAGTATTTTTTATTTTGAATTATGCTTTTGTGGGAGGAGGTAATGGAACTGCTTCACTTACTCACTGAATAGAATCATAGAATCCTTTAGGTTGGAAGAGACCTTGAAGATCATCAAGTCCAACCCTTAAGCCAACATAGAATTGTGTAGCTTTGTTAGAGAGTGTAAGTGGGGAAGGTGCAAACGTAGAACTCTTGATAGAACTGTGCTGAACTCAAATCATCAAAATTTGGTCATATCTTCCAATTTCCTTTTGAAGACAAAGCTAAAAGCTACAGGGCCCCATCTCAGAAGTGACAGCATCTGTTTATGCCATTATAAAATCTTGGCAGAGAAGTCATTATTTCTCTCTCCTACTGATAGCATCATACCAAAACTTGAGCTGCACACTTGTACGCCGAACAGTAGGCTAAGCACCAAAAAATAATAAGGCTTGTTTCTGATGACTTTCCTAGAATATTGTAATCACATGTCAGACAGCTAGCCTAAACAAATGCTTGCCAGCAGGTTACTGCATTTTTTCCTTGGAATGCACATCTGTAAAATACTTACTATTGAAATATTTCTTTAAGAAATTGTGTCTTCATACTAAAAATAATTCCATCATAAGCCTGACTGTCACCTTGAATTTTATTTATTTTTCTTCCAAGCCATGGGCTCCAACTTTCCTCTCAATGGATGTGGATGGCCGAGTTATCAGGACTGACTCTTTCTCTAAAATTCTCTCATCTGGGTAAGGCCTGCTTCAGACTGCTCAGCATTGCCTGTTCCATTAGGGCACAAGACTAACACTTCATACAGAATGATAAGATCTATCATAGTGTTTTTTCATCCAATACCTATCCATTTCTGGAACATACTTTTGAATCCACAGCTTTTCTCAGTCCACTGACTTTTCATGTCATCTCTTGGTAGTCATTTAACTCAGATTCTGCTTCTCACCTGATACTGATAGTTAAGCCCCTCTCCCCAGGCAGCCCATTCTGGCAGACACCATGTAGGCAGAAAGACATGCTGGATTACAGCTCTGTTCCTGGAAACCCTAGAAGCTTTTCTCTCTTGTTTTTCCACTTCTCCTATCTCTTACCATTCCTGCAGACTCCCCAAACTAGTAATACAGAAGAGAAATGATGGCATTGTTCTCCACAAACTATTCATAGGGTTATACTGGTCTGTTGTCTTCTGGCCTTGTGGGTCTTTCAGGTTGTTTCCACCTGCCTGAAAAACTAAACTTGCTGTTTTCAATTTCCCAGAAGTCAACATATTTAACTTGCTTTTGTTTATTATCCTGATAGATATAAGAAAGTCATGTGAACTCTGCACTGGCAGCTAATGGATTAGAACCCCATCCCTGAGAAAGTGAGGAGACAACATGATGCCAAAAGTGTGATTAGCCTTTCAGAAGTGCAAAGGCATGATGCAGTTTTATCTTTGTCAAAGACACATAGGAACTTACTGGTTCTATTTTTCTTCAGAGAAAAACTTCAGCCAGTCTGAAAGATGGGTCATCAGAATCGAGGCACGAATGAGAATCTAGTTTATCATCAGTCTAATTTCCATTTGTTCTGCAGTACTGAAAGAGATTAAAAGAGCAAAGATGTTTGCTGCTTCCCATCTGTTTATCATAAAGCCTGAATATTCATGATTTTTCATTACATGAAATCCTATCTTTCCTTCCCTTTGATTCATGTAATCTTTATGGTTGCAGAGGAAAGCTTACAAATATGGGATATGTCCTGTGGTTTCAGAGCTAAGAGGGTCCTATAACCATTAAAAACCCTTACATGTTTTTATTTCATGACTTTGCTACTCAGCCTGTAAATTGCAGAAGCCTGGGGCTTAGGGCAGTATGAAGATACAGATAAACTTAAATGCATAAAAGATCCTTAAAATATCAACAAAATTGTTAAACGTTTTCTCAGTTACAAGTCAAACCATAACTCACCCGAAGTATTAGCACGTCTCATTTCTGTAATAACTTTTTCCTTTCTTTTCCTAGGTTAAGAATAGGTTTCCTCACAGGTCCCAAGCCCCTCATCGACAGAGTTATTCTACACATTCAGGTTTCAACAATGCACACGAGCACTTTCACACAGGTGAGTACTCAGCTGCCAACTGAATTGCATTTAGAAAAGAGAACATAACATATTCCAAGTCATAAGAAGCCACAAATGGCTTTGGATTTTGGCAGTTGCTCTGTACTTCTGCAGGTTTTTTTATATTAAGCACATATGTCATTAGTTCTGCCAAAGGAAGAGAGACCACCACAGAAATTACAACTAGAGCTAGAGGGTGTCTCAGTGCATGTAGAGCACAGCTGATATGCCCTTAACCCTTGGATTTCAAGAATGAAGATAGCAGGTATTTTATATCTCTTGCGAGTAGGTTCACTTGAAAAACCCCAATGTAAAGCATACACTGGAAGAAGCTGTATTCTCATTTTCCTTCTGCTTTGTAATTAGAGCAATACTGGCAGCCCACAAAGACATTACAAAGCAGGCTGCCAACTACAGCCCCTTTATGGTTGGTAATAAAGGAGACACTGAGCACATCTAAATATGGCCTCTGTTTTCCAGCTCCATTCATCATAGAGGCAGTGTTAAAGCAAGGAGGCTGAAACAGGCAGGAAAGTAAAGCAATATATATTACCTTCCTTTGATTACCATATTTAGCTCTCCATCCATTCTTCCCTTTCCCCACCCCAGCTTCCAAATATTGCCGTGATCCTTGGATACAGCAGTAGCATGGCCTGTTGCTGTTGCCACCTCTGTGTATAAAGGGCTCCAGGAGACCTTGCACACAATTTCTTGCCTGTGGAATTTTGAATAACGCCTCAGGCCTTGTATCTTTTGATGACTGTGGAACAGTCCTGTTTAAAATATGGTGCTGATGATGTGTTTTGTTTCTCTAGATTATGATATCACAGCTGCTCCAGCAGTGGGGAGAAAAGGGTTTCTTGGAGCATATAGACAGGTAGGGTCATGTCATATGCTGTATCCCATCATCTGTTATTCTGTTTCTTGCTACCTACATAACACATTCTTTGTAGTACACAGGTCAGAGGAGTGCATCACTATTGGGCCAAATGGTTGAGCCAGGTCACCAGGACTAACAGTATTCACACAGGAGTCCTGAAGGAGCTCAGGGTGAAGCTGCAGACACGCAGGTCAGGGCATGTAACCTTCCACTGCAGACAGTCCACTGCAGTCACTATGCAGCTGCCATCTGAACACAACTCAAGAGGATTCTGGGAGCTTGAAATGCTGGGGTCTGAACCCCGAGCCCTGAATTAAGGTTGCCATATGGGTGATTCCCACAGCCCTTCATCCAGAGGGGTGAGTTTGCCTTAGAGCTTCCCCCCAGGGTGCGGCCGGCCCTGCAGGGAGAGCCAGAAGGGAAATGAGCCCCAGGGGTCCCGCAGGGAGCTGACAAAGGTCAGGGCTCTGCTGGGGGATAAAAGCTGGGACCACTGGCAGGGAGTCAGGAGTGTCTGTCTGTGGAGTGCACTCCCCAGGGCTGCCTGTTTCAGGGCAGACCTCCTGACTCTCCTGGAGCTGGGCCCTGGTCTGTTTAGGCCTTTGTGAACGTGGGCTGATCGGGTGAGAGTTGCCATGTGGGCACCTATCTCTTTTGTGCTTAGCTTGCTGCTCTGGCTGTTTCCCATGCCAACTGTGGGCAATCTCAGGTCTCTGTCTGTACCCCCTGTTGTGGGCCGGGTCGTGTCGTTTGTGGGATCGTTGGGGGTGGTGTCAATCATGTCTGAGATTGTCGGTCATTCATATAGTAGCATATCTGTCTACAACACAGTCTGTGTATTGGTTCATCTCCCTGCTGGTGGTATCATTTTTGTTGGGCCTGGTCATTGGCAAAACAGAGCTCCGTATCAATGTAACTTTACAATAGCAGTTTGGAAAACATTGAAAGAAATCACTTTCTTGAATCTGTCACCGTGCACAAGACATCCCTAACTCATCCTGAGAGTAAACACCCACATCACCAGCACCACCCCCTATTTGCAGGCTAC